CAAAACCTTGATGGTTATTTTTGGTTCTAGGTTGAAAACGAGTTAAAATGGGCTGGTTGAGTTTTTAGCTCATTCTCTCTTGAAAACCTAGGTTTGATTCTGAGTTTTGGGTGAGAAAAGGAGTGAGAAGAGAGAAGAAAATGCTATGGTCGGAGTTCTAGGTTTTTTTTTATGAAATAGACCCAAAAATGAAGTCTAAACTTGATAGAAACCAAGCAAAAGTAAAGTGACCTTATAGTAGGACAAGTGTCTAGGTTTTTCTAAGCCTCTAATAGCTGTCCTAACCTCATAAAATTAGCTCTAAAGTCTCTATTTTTCTTCTTCAATTAGGTGCCTAAAGATCACTCAATTTGCTAACATGGCCTTCTCTCACAAAAACTCAAAACAGCAACTAAGTCCTAAACACATTTATATAAAACCATATAATAAAAATATAAAATAATAATTCATCATTAAATCAATCATAATAGAGGTAAAATATCATATCAAATAACCATAATAAATATCATTTTTTCTTCATAAGTTTAGCACATTGAGTTCTCACATCGAGCTAGTTGCACTGCACATTAAAACTGAAAACTTAATTAGCAAAGCTATAAGTTTAATAAAATCATATGATAGGTATAATAATAAAATATAATACCAACAAATAACTTTGAGGTAAATGGTAAATGTGATGCATGATTTTAATTTACTAAATTTATTTATTATTGGCTTAAGGCTTAATTAAATCTCGAGTATTACATTTTTTGATGATGATTATATGATGATGATTAAAAATGGGCAACCTATGAAAATGTTTGATTTAAAAAATAATAAATTATATCTATAATGATTAAAAAAATTAGATGAAAATTTTAATTACTATTATATTAATAATAAAAAAATTAAAAATAAAATTTTTAGAATGTTAAAGACTTATTATAAAATAATTTGGGTTAATTTTCATAAAATTTGATAAAACTTTATAAATTGTTCGTAGTGGAGATGCCTATGGACAAGAGTTGGATATATTTAAAGAACCGGTTGTCTGATAAGTACTAAGATGGTTTGTGTGCTTTTATTGAGATTGTAATGAATTATGCATATTCAACCGGGGGTATTAGTTGTTCGTGTATGAAGTGTAGAAATCATGAGATGCTGCCACCAAAAACAGTGAAAGCACATATACATCGATGGGGCTTTGATACAAGTTACACCACATGGATTCACCATGGTGAAGTATGTGTTGCTGTAGTCGTTAGTGCACCTGTTGATGAGATGTTTGCAGTGCTAAGTGATGTGGTTGGGTTTAGTGATGATCATGAAACATTGGGAGAGATAGAAACGGTTATAAAAGATACTCATTACAATGAATTGAGGGATCTCTTATCCGAGCTCCAAGTCAGATTGTATCCGGGCTGCACTAAGGATTCATCGTTGAATTTCTTAGTGAAACTAATACATCTAAAAGTGTTGTACAAGTGGCCTAATGAGTGCATAGATGAAATATTGACGCTACTGAGAGATGCACTCCCTGAAGGGAACAAGTTACCTACATCGCATTACGAGGCGAAAAAGTTATTGAGTGAAATGGGTATGAGCTAAGAGGCAATTCTTGTGTGTGAGTATGACTACGCTTTGTCTTGAAAGTAGAATGCTACTTTGCAGTCTTGTCCAGTCTGTAGTACAAGTCGTTGGAAGAGTAAAAAAGGGAAAAATTTATGTGGAAAGTACTCTGATATTTCCCTTTGAAGGATCGGTTGAAGCGTCTGTATGCTTCCCGTCACACTGCTAAGGAAATGATGTGGCATATGCGTGGGCATTCGAGGAATGAAGACTTAATACGTCATCCAGTTGATGGTACGGAGTGGAAAGAGTTTGATGAAAAAAATCTACAATTTACACGTGAACCGAGAAATATTCGATTAGGGTTAGCTACTGATGGTTTCAACCCATTCAGGAATATGAGTTTATCATATAGTATGTGGCCTATTATTGTGACTGGATATAATTTACTCACGTGGCTATGTACCAAGGACCCGTACAAGATGTTGACGTTATTGAATCCAGATTGCAATGCTCATGGGAAGGATATTGATGTGTTCTTAAGGCCCCTCATGGATGAGTTAAAAGAGTTATGGGATGAAGGGGTTGTTGTTCGTGATGCTGCTACAAATACTTCGTTTCGGATGCGGGTTGTGTTGCTGATGACAGTTAATGACTTTCCTGTGCGTAGTAGTTTATCTGGTTGGAGTAGTCAAGGGTACTTTGCATGTCCTAATTGCAATGATGCAACTCCATCGAAGCGAATAACGAGTAAAATTTGCTATGTTGGGCATAGATAATGGCTTCCAATGAGTCATAGGATGAGGACTAACAAAAAGTTCGATAGTAAGGTTGATCGACGACCTCCCCCGCCTCAGAAATCCATTAAGCAAATATTAACTCAATTCATGTAACAATTTTTATTTCCGTACATTTTATAATTACTTTCTACTATAATTACATTTTATTTTATTTTATTAATTACTTTCTACTATAAAAATTTTTATTTTTATTTTTATATTATTTATTTTCTTTCAATTAATTCTTCTTTATTATAATAATATCGTGAATTATATTTAATATTAGATTTAAATATATAGTAATATACAACATTAATTATTAAAATGAGAAAAAAATAAAAAAATAATATACTATTTGCGACGACAAATGTGGTCGCATAAAATTTATTCCACGTCAGCTAATTCGATGTTTTTTGTGATGACTTAATTCGCCGTCGCAAATAATTAATGCCATGTCATCTTGACGATAACCGATGAAATAATTACAGCCACTCATTTGCGGCGATTTTTCATCACAAATATAATTGAGACAACGACTTGTCATCCCAAAAAATATCTTTGCAACGAATCAATTGCGACGACATCTTTGCAACGATAAGTCGTCTCAAAAATAATATTTGCAATGACTTTGAGTTTTTTTGCAATGATTTTTAGTCGTCGCAAATAACCGTATTTTTTGTAGTGATTGGACATATAAGTAGTCAGAGCAGAGAAGTTCCTCAACTATACCTTAAAAGGCTATTTTTAAACATTGCATAGTTGTTAATGATCAATTGTCAAATTGTGTGGGATTTTTTTATTATTTTTATCTTTCGCGAAACAAATTATACATCGTGGGAATATTTGTTAGGGGAGATTGACGTTGCAGTATGCTTGCTGAAAAGATGCTACTTGACTATTCTTTTACTTATCAAATTTAAACATTCAAATGCGTATAAATTATAGCACGTACTTTCTACTATAGAAGTCATTAGTGAGATTAAACAAGTTGTAGAAGTAAAATATGTAATAGGACTTGGTCAGCCAAGTGATTCGAGTCAAAAACACAAGTGGTTGGCATTTGTACATATAGAATAACGACGATAATGATGTATAACCAAAGAAATATCCAAACCCGTCTTGTTGCCATCCCTAGCCATCAGCCCTGTCAATGACTACTTGCCAATTCAACTAATTAATGTTTTTGTATCTTTTATTACATATATATGCATCTTTCTTCGATAACACGGAGTCTCGAAAGTCTAAACCAATCGGATATATTGAGAAAAGTCGGCGTCTAATCCCTTCGGAGTAGAGCTTGGCGGACATACTTAGCAATATTAGCATGAAAACCGTAGTGATTTGATCGCATGCGTTGAGAAGTGAATTGACATACATGAGTCGTCCGGCAAGATAGAACTCCTATGATATCTGAAAGTATCTTGTAGTGTGAACAAAATTGTATATTCGTATCAGGGGAAAAAACTAAAATGATAGACAATATCTATATTTATATATCAAACAATAACTCTTTCTTGTTGGAAAAAAAAAATTTTCCCGAATAGCATATAGGTGTTAAACATGAGAATGAGAGAGGAAGAAATTTTCGTTGTACAAAGACGTGCATTTGACTTTAGGTTGGCCAAGACAATAACGAAGAAAGCTTCCCTTTCGCGTTTGATTTGGTTTCCATCCAGAGATTATAGCTGAGTTTTATGGTATTAAATCTGTTTTAATTCATTTGGAATTTAAATTCATTGTTGACTATTTCTATGGAAATATAGTTACCCAAATTAATACTTGTAATTTGTAGTTATATTGCGTTTCAATGTAGGATCAATATTTTTTTTTTAGTGGGGCACTATGAAATAAATTGAAGATAGTTTTCACTGAAACCAAACATAATAATATATTTCGATTATTGGAGGAAAAATTATTATTTATCTTGTAAAATAAGAGCGCAATGATATGTTTAATTATTTTATGGGGAACAATTATGATTTGTCTCTTTTTATTTTTATTCAACTTTTTACAATAGGAGCCCCTATTATCTAGATAAGTTAAAAAGATATGAAGCACGTGTGAGCTCAAGAAATATTAGTATAATGCAGCTCCATTGGACATATAAGTGTTCAGAGCAGAGAAATTCCTCCACTGCACTTTAAAAGGTCATTTTCAAACATTGCATAATTGTTAACGATCAATTGTCAAATTGTGTAGGATTTTTTTTTATATTATTTTTATCTTTCGCGAAACAAATTATACATCGTGGGAATATTTGTTAGGGGAGATTGACGTTGCAGTATGCTTGCTGAAAAGATGCTACTTAACTATTCTTTTACGTGGTTTCTACTTAACTATTCTTTTACGTGCTACTTAACTATTCTATAAGTGAGATTAAACAAGCTGTAGAAGTAAAATATTTAACAAGACTTAGTCAGCCAAGTGGTTAAAGTCCAAAACACAAGTGGTTGGCATTTGTATGTATACAACCAAAAAAAAAAATAGACTTCAGAAGCGTGAGAAGTAAAGACGACGTTGATATCCGGAGACCTGGTCAAATTGTTGGAAAAATTGGATAGTCAGCAAATGGGGCTAAAAATGCCAAAAAAATGTCCTTAAACTCATTCGTTGGATGTTTATATATAACTGTACGTAAGACCGAGGGTGATGACAGAACGAAAATATAAAAACGACTATATATAACTAAATCTCCCTACTGACTGAGAAAACCATGAAGTCTTGTGAAGCGCTTCTAAACACAATACAAATATTGCTCATCTTCCTTGCTCCACCCTTATGTATGTCCCTTGTCTTTGACACCATTACACCAAACCACCCCATCAAAGACGGCGACGTTTTGCTCTCCGGCCAAAAGACCTTCGCACTCGGCTTCTTCAGCCCCGGCAAGCCCCTCAACCGCTATGTCGGAGTCTGGTACAACAAAATCTCAGAGAAAACCGTGGTTTGGGTCGCAAATAGAGACAATCCCATCAACGACACTTCAGGAGTCTTGGCCATCAACAGCAAAGGACGCCTCAGCATTTATGCAAAATACCAAAACTCTCCTATTTGGTCAGCAAATCTATCTGTCTTTACGGCAAAAACTAGTTCCACTTTCATAGCTAAGCTTTTAGATGTTGGAAATCTTGTTTTGATGAAAAAAGATGACAGTTTTGGACAGAGCAGTGTTATTTGGCAAAGCTTTGATTATCCAACGAACACTTACCTACCTTTCTTGAAGCTTGGGCTGAACCGGAAAACCGGCCTCGACCGGTTCATAACATCCTGGAAATCGGCGGATGATCCGGGAACCGGTAATTGTACGTACCGGATGAACCTAACCGGATACCCACAGATGATCTTATACAAGGGTCAGGTTCCGTTTTGGCGGGCCGGATGTTGGACAGGTCGCAGATGGACTGGTGTACCCACGATGATAGGAATGATAAACGGGTTCATCTTTAATGTGAGCTATACGAACAACAAAGATGAGACAAGCATCATGTATGGAATCAACAACGACACGAATTCAGTTTTCTCTAGGCTCGTGATAGATGAATCGGGGACAGCAAGGCGGTCCACATGGCAAGATCAGCGTAAAGAGTGGGTCGAATTTTCGTACGTTCCCGCTGAACGGTGCGACAATTATGGGATATGTGGCAGAAACGGAAAGTGTAACCAATCGGACGCAAGCCAGCTCGAGTGTGTGTGCCTGCCTGGGTTCGAGCCCCATTCGCGTGATAGTTGGGACTTGAGAGACCGGTCAGGCGGGTGCATGAGAAAGGGCGGGGCACGCACATGTGGAGATGGTGAGGGGTTTGCCAAGGTGACACGTGTGAAATTACCCGATACATTCAACGCACGTGGGGAAATGGGATTGAATTTGAGAGAGTGTGAGGAGAAGTGCTTGAAGGATTGCAATTGCACGGCTTACACGAGTTTGGATGAGACTAGAGACGGTGCTGGTTGCTTATCTTGGCACGGTGATTTGGTGGACATAAGAACTTTTACCAATGCGGGGCAAGATCTATACGTACGAGTCGATGCAGTTACTTTAGGTACGTTTACCATTTAATTTCTATTAAACTTGTTCGTCATTTATATAAGTTATGGGTGAATGTAAGAAGTAAAATAAATAAATAAATAAACAAATAAAATAGTAGGTATTGATGGACATATTATCAACAACATAAGTTCCCTTTAGTTAACGGAAAAGAAGATATATTACTAGTATGAGCTATCATATGCCTCCTAGTTAAAATTACTTTAGCTTGAAAAGTGCAAAAAGAATAATTGATATAGATTTAGGTCTCGTTAACTTCATGGATTTGAGTTTTTAATTCGTGCTGAGATGTGACATTTTCTGAGAGCTTTTTACTGTAGCAGAAAAAGTTAGATGTAACATTTTCTGAGAGCTTTTTACTGTAGAAATCTAAAACTGAAAACTCAAATAAGTGAAATGAACGAGGCATGGTTTAAAACAAAATTCTATTGATAGAATATTATTTCATCGCTTATCGTAAATGAGAGAGTTCTCATTGATATTTAACTATTGCATGGATAATTTTGTAAGTCACTGCGACTGCACTCTCTTGATATTTAACTATTGCATGGATCTTAAATATATATTCTTACCTAACTCGAGAAATAAGGGTCCGTTCGGTTCACTAATTCGAGTTTTTAATTCGAGTTGAGATATGATGTTGTATGAGAGCTTTTTACTGTAGTAGAGTTTTTTTACTGTAGCAAAACTCGAATTCTAAACTCGAATCAGCGAAAAGAACGTGGCCTAAGTGTTGAGTTTTATAATATCAATGAGATGATCAGTTTTGACCTTTTATCTAAGTAGCTCAATACGCGAAGAAGTCGAATGGCTCTATCAGCAAAACGGGGAAGCTAGCAATTTTGCTCTGTTCTGTTGTAATCTTTTTTCTCTTGGTCTTCATTGCATATTGGTTGGCAAATAGGAAGAGAATATCAGGTAAAAGGATTTCCTCTATTTTGCTTTCTGTTCATTCTACAACCATCATGTACATCTAATTACTTGTGCATCTATTTTTTTTTTTTTTTTTTTATATATATAAACTTAAGTTAAACTAAAAAAAAACTAAAATCTCAAGAACTTCAATAATGCTATGGACACCAACTAATATGGCACATAGTTGTCATTTTTATATTAATGGGTATTTGAAATATTACCACGTCAATTAATGATAAGATTATATTTACCGATAAAAATATGACAACTAGTGTGCCATATCAGTTAGTACACAAAAGTTAGATTTTAAGTTGGTATCACTAAGACTATTCTAACATAATTAAATGCACAAAAGTAAGTAAAATAACTCTATTTCATAGAGCAATCACAAATCACAGCAAGAATTATTTGTAATATGTTTGGTGACAGGTAAAGAAAGGCGTAACACCAAACGATCAAACTTTTCGGAAGAGGGGGAGCTTGACGATGGTAAAACAGATTCAGATGTTCCATTGTTTGATTTACATACCATTGCTATAGCCACAGCCAATTTCTCTGCAGAAAACAAACTTGGACAAGGTGGCTTCGGCTCAGTGTACAAGGTAAATCTTCCTCAAATAAAGTATCTCAAATTTTGTAATTATTTCAAATTTTATATTCTTATTTCCAATTAGGAAGAACATGTAAAGATTAGACACCCTAATTCTATATATCCAAGAGCAACAAAAACGCTGGAAAGAATAAAGAATGAACACAAAAATTGATAAAGGTTAGCCTCAATGTGAGATTCCATCCTCTTTCCGCTGTTATACAACTGTAATGAAGAAGAAGTTAACAAAGTAAATCCGCTAATTGCATAAGGCAATAAATCGTTAAGAATAATTAGGCTCTGTACCTTAACAAAACACATAATAACTTCAATGTCAATTAAGTCAATTTTGGACAATGGTTTCAGGGTATGCTATCAAATGGAAAGGAAATTGCAGTGAAGCGACTATCTAGGTGCTCTAGGCAAGGAAGTACAGAGTTCAGGAATGAAGTTCAGCTAGTTGCAAAACTACAACACAAAAACCTAGTGAGGATTTTAGGTTGTTGCTTCCATGAAGAAGAGAGAATGTTAGTCTACGAGTACTTACCAAACAAAAGCTTGGACTCTTTTATTTTTGGTGCGCTTTCTTTCAATTTTACCTTCTGATTTCTGCTTAAAAGTGTGATGGTTTTTTACTAAAAACAAATTTTGAAGCAAAGCAGAAGAATTTTGAAACGCTTCTTAGTCTAGCTAGATACGGAGAAGCCTATGAATGACTAGCTAGCTAGGGAACGCTTAAGAGGCATTACAAGTTTTAATCAAACTAAATTACTGAATTTCATTTGTCATCAGATGAAGAGAAAAGGAAGTCGTTAGATTGGAGAAGACGATTTGACATAATATGTGGCATTGCTCGAGGGATCTTATATCTTCATCAAGATTCAATACTAAGAATCATCCATAGAGATCTCAAGGCAAGCAATGTTCTACTAGATGCCGCTTTGAACCCAAAGATTTCAGATTTCGGTTTGGCAAGAATATTTGGAGAAGACCAAAGTGAAGCATGCACAAATCGTGTGGTAGGAACATAGTAAGTGTCCCTTAACTAAAAGTAAATATGTTTTCATTAGCTAACAGGTAACAACATGTGTTAAATCAATGATTCATTCTATGCTGTTACAGCGGTTATATGGCTCCAGAGTATGCAATGGAAGGATTGTTTTCAACAAAGTCGGATGTATATAGCTTTGGAGTTTTGCTTCTAGAGATCATTACTGGTAGAAAGAACATTGATTATTATGAAGAGAAATCAGAGTCAAATTTGCTTGGACATGTGAGTATACATGATTAATTTTACTTGAGAAAATATAACTATACACGAAAAGATTTGCATGATTATTTTTCTCTGACATGATGGCATACGGTTGTTTCAGGTCTGGGACTTGTGGAAAGAAGGCAGAGCCTCCGAAATAGTGGATCCTTTTTTGGACGAGTCATTTGTTGATGAAGCTTTGAGATGCATCCAAATTGGTCTGCTGAGCGTGCAAGAACACGCGAATGATCGACCAACCATGTCAGCAATTGTTCTAATGTTGGGAAATGATTCAGCTCTTCCCTCCCCAAAACAACCTGCATTTATCCTTAATAGATGCTGGGCTGGTACCGGAGACCGGGCATCTAGTGAAGGTGTTTATAACTCTATAAACATTGTGTCATGTACTATGGTGGAAGCTCGCTGAACTTGTAAAATTAGATTGTGCAACGAAATATGACGTTGTAGTTTTCAACTTTCTGTATTACCTACAGTTTTTATTTAGTCAATGTTTGTAATGCGTCCTTAAGAATATTGCTTGTGGGAACCAAGAAGACTCATTGTCTGTTCTCTTTTTCCCTTAGAGGCACTACAAGAAAAATCCTCTTAAATAGCTGACGAAAAACGCTATTAAATTGTTAATATAGTGTTTTACAAAATGATAACGCAGCTTACGCTATTAAAAGTCCATAGCTCTTAATGCGTTTTTTTAATTACGCTATGCTATGCTTTTCTGACTAGCTATGCTTTAGTTTCTACTGCAGTTTTTAATGGCTATCAAGTATCTGTGAATTTTTAAAATCAATATACATGCAATTCCATGCATCTTGGTTAACTATATGAATTGCTTATAGCAAAAAATAACTTCAAATGAATAATGCACTGATATACTATTATATATGATGCTAAATTTTAAAAGTACACCAAATAGTCAAATACCACCTTCACTATATAATTCAATAATCCATACAATAAGGAAAGTAATCAATCTATAATACTATTTTCAACTTGGCAACTGATGAGTGCGTAATTTATGCACTCATTCGTTACTCCTTTAGCTAGTTTTGGTGTGTTTTTCCTCAAGTTGTTATGTGGATTTGATGACTTTCCCTTGAGTGTGTAGGAAAGGGTGAAATCGCTGAGTTTTGAGGCATTTTGGATCAAAAAGATAGAGAACGAGGCGATATGGCGCCTTCAGATGGCGATGCGACTCGAAAAGGAGCAAAATCGAGCAAACCTGTGCGAAGGACCAGAGAGGAATGCGATATGTCGCCTCCTTTAGGCGATATGTCGCCTATTCTAGGGGATATGTCGCCCGATTTACCTGATTTTATTAGAAATACGCATTTTGCCTTAGTTTGGTGCAGAGACTTTTATGGAAAGTGAGAATTAGCTTCTTGGGGATGTGTTGGACGTAGAATATAAGGAGGAGAGGCCGAAAACTGAAGGGAAGGAGGAGAAAAAGGGTTTGCAAAAAAAGAAAAACTGAATCGGAGAGGATTCGAGGGAAATTCCAGCGATTCTTCAAGAATTCCAAGCGTTCTTCATTCTCTTCTTATCTTTCTTCTTGTATTTTTCTGATTTTTGAATATTATTTTGAGATTGTGAACCACATGATGTGTGGCTAATTTTCTTATTTGTTAGGGTTTAGATGAATCTCTATTTGTGATTATTGTTTCGACGTTTTAATGTGCATTTAATTAAGCTCTTCGTTTCTTTCGTGTTCTATTTTGAATTATTGCTGCTAAATCTATGATTTACATATTGTCATGCTTTATGAGATTTTGAATTGGGCAGATTTTTATTGTGAGGATTAATACTCGAGAGGGGAACGTTCAAGCAATCAAGAAACGGATAGAACAACTTAGGTTGGTGTGAGATCGAGAGATAAACATTGCCTAGGTAACCGAAACAATTTTAGGTTGTGAAATTGAGAAGTGGAATTCTAGGAATTGTTTCTAGAGTGGAACTTAATGAAGGTAGGGATGAATAGTTGTATAGAGATATAGGCTTGATATCACCTACACATTCTTTATGCGGCACTCGAGAGAAGGAATAAGGATATACATCACTCTAGGTTCTTGAGAACGTTGAGTTAGGTTAGGCACATTACTGTGGAGAAACATAATCGCAATAGAGTGAAGTCAAGACCCTAGCATTTTTATTATATTGATTTTCCGTTCTAATTTCAGCACGTATTATTAATTACTGTCATTTTTCCTTTTGATTTAGTTTTCCTTTATTTTAGTTTTTCTTTGAGTTTATCACATCCAAATTTGATCGCTTAGATAAAGTTAAGATATGATATTTACAATAGTTAGTTTATATTCTTAACGTCAATCCTCGTGGGACGATATCGGTCTTCGGACTACTTTATTACTTGTAGGACTTGTGCACTTGCAAGCGCAGTCAAATCATTTGCAATAAGTTTTTGGCGCCGTTGCCGAGGATTGAACGGCTAAGAATTAGATTACTATAGTGAAGAAATATCTTGTTTTAATCTAAGTTTTTTTTTTGTATTTATTTATCTATTTTTCTTTTGTTGTGTTCGTAGGTGCATGCAAAAAGCACGTGGCTCGGAACTCTTGCCTTTGGATTCAGAAATTGAACGAACTGTTCGAGCATTAAGGAGAGAACGACGAGCTAGGGCTAAGAACATGGCCGAGGAACAAAACCAAGCAGACCAGCAACGGACGTTGCGAGATTATTTCAAGCCCGTAGTGAACGAGAATTATTTGGGCATCCAACATCAACAAGTCAATGCCAACAATTTTGAGCTCAAGCCGGCCCTCGTCAACATGGTCCAGTAGAACCAATATGGAGGCTTGCCGCACGAGGATCCCAATATCCATTTGGCCACTTTTTCTGGAGATTTGTGACACAGTGAAGATTAATAGAGTGAGTGCCGAGATCATCCGTTTGAAACTCTTCCCATTCTCCTTGTGAGACCGGGCTCGGTCTTGGCTTCAATCTTTACCATCAGGGAGTGTAGCCGCATGGGAGGACATGGCCCAAAAGTTCCTCATCAAATTCTTTTCGCCCTCCAAGACGTCTCAACTGAGGGCCGAGATTACTCAATTTCGGCAGTTTGAGTATGAACAATTATATGAGGCGTGGGAACGGTTTAAAGAGATGCTCCGCAAGTGTCCTCAACACGGTATTGAAGATTGGTTCCAAGTTCAACTTTTCTATAATGGGCTTACTGGGCAAACTAAGGCTCATATTGATGCAACGGCTAGTGGGACCATCTTGTCAAAGACACCCGGGGATGCATTCAATCTCTTTAAGGACATGGCAATGAATAGTTGTCAATGGCAAAATGAGCAGTCCACTGTGAAGAGAGCAGCAAGAATTTATGATGTGGATCAAACGACGTCTCTCATGGCTCAAATGGCGCTCTTGACTAATCAAATCCAGGGACTTACTGCAACCAATGCCAATGGTAATCAAGAAGCTGTAAAGATGGCACAAGCTTCAAGCTCAAGTGATTCATATGATGAGCAATGTCACTTCGTCAACCGTAGCTACAATTTTAGGCCCAACAACAACTTACCGACATACTATCATCCCGGGCTCAAAAACCATGAGAATTTCTCTTATGCCAACAACCGGAATGTTTTACAACCAACTCTGGAGTCAAGTAAACCGACAATGGAAAAGCCTTCCTCATCACTTGAAGAGCTTTTGAAGACGTATATTGTGGACTCTAAGGCTCGTCTTGATCAACATGACGCTCGTCTCAACAACATTGAAACTCACTGCACCAATTTGGGAGGCACTATGAAGGCACTAGAAATACAAGTTGGCTAATTAGCTAATGCTATAAAAGGGCAATCATCAAGGTCCTTCCCAAGCGACACCGAAAAGAACCCAAGGGAGTGCAAGGCCATCACATTGAGGAGTGGTAAAGAGCTTGAAAGCCCGAGTGTTCAAAACGCCATGGTTGATGAGGAGCCTATCAAGAGCAACGATGATGGTAAGGACAAGTCAAAGGAGGAAAATCTGAAGGCGAAGAAGGAAGCACCGGTGGTTAGACCGGGTTCGATCACTTTTCTGGATAACCCACCTTGTATCACTCCCCCATTGCCATTCCCTCAACGGTTCCAGAAGAAGGCGCTTGA